CCCCCCCCCCCACCTTTCTCCAGTCCCAAAGGTCTACTGATGACATCCATTAGTGGCTTGAGCACAGCTTCTCTGCTTTACGCAGAAATTCTGTGTCCTGGCGTATTCTGAATTTTTAGAAGGACGTCTGTGTTTTGGAATCTTTTCCAGGGTCAAGTTACTTTCCTTGTATCTAAGCTTTGGGCGTCTCTTTTTTGGTGGGATTACTGGGTGTGGGCAAGGGGAACGGTTTGTGTGTCTTTGGGGTGTGTTGGACCGGATCAGGTCTGCCTTGTTAGAGGCGTGGAGAGGGGTTGGATTCTTCGAAAGTGAGGACCCTGTTGCGCTGTTCCCCCGAGGGGTTTGGACGCCTCCTGAGCGTGTGGACCCTCCCGCTGTCCTGCCTCACAGCCTCCTCCCCGTGGGACGTACATGTGTCCCATTGGAGGGGACGGGAGCTGTGAGGGAATTCACCATCCAAACCATTGACTGTGCCATCCACGTGTTGTTTCTTTTATAAACAACAATAAGACCTCATCCTTTCCTTCTTGTGGTTCTTATGTTCACTGGGCAGAACTCCCAACACCAGAGTGTGGTATCAGAGGCACACAGAGACACAACGCTCATGTGCACCACAAAGGGGCACACGAAAACACATCCATGCACAAACACATATGCACACACATATGCACTCGCACACCCAGGCATCCGGAAGCATAGATACATCCTTATATGCACACACATCGTCCCTTTTCAAAAAAAAGAAAAAGAAATCCTGTCATCTCAGTTTGCTGAGACATTTTTTCAAGAAGGCTCCACGCTGGTCACGGACCTTGAAGTCATGACTCTGAGGTCAAGATCTGAGCTGAGATCAAGAGTAGGATGCTTAACCGACTGAGCCATCCAGGTGCCCCAAGGGATTTGTTTTTTTTTTAGTGGTGGATGTTTATGAATTTTGTCAAGTGGTCTGATGATGACTTTGACCGCTGAGGTCAGGTATTACATTAACCAGTTTCATACTGGTGATCTGCGAAGCCTTCAAACTGATCTGCTCTCAGAGCCATAGCTCACTGTCTGTGGGGTTGCTTGGCAGCAACCCCAGTTAGATGCCCCAGTTAGATTTGGATTCCGGATAAGCAACACGTCCTTTTCCTCATGTGAGCTTACCCATGCAGTGTCTGGGACATGTTGCACGAAAATGAACATGGCTCGTTTCGTTGACATTCACAGTGAGCTGGGCATCTACTTGCTAAATCTGCAATCCTATGAGCTTGGGATTTCACCCCGTGTGTTGTAGAGCAATCCGTTCAGTGTCTCCTGAGAGCCCGTGTGGACGGGGCTGATGTCAAGGGTAGTGGCTGCGGGACGCACGCCTCTGTGTGCTGTGCTAACACGGGCGTGTTGTTCTCCAAGTCTCTCCTGGTCTGCGAGCCTGGGTGCAGATTGTGGCAGCATCAGCATGGGCAGTGTTTCCCGGGAGGAGACTTCTTTGCCCCGGCTGGCTGTCGGGTCCCGAAGCCAGGACTCAGCCTCACAAATATCGCTGCCGTGGCCCACGGTGCTTCAGCCTGTCCGCGGGGTCCCTTGTGCCATTGGGGAGGAATCGAACACACTTCTCCAGGACCACTAGAGACGCAAATGGTTTCCTACAGTGGCTTTGAGGGAGCCAGCCGATGTATCTGCATTGCCACATTTTCTTTATGATTGATGTTGGCCGCTTTTCAAACGTGTTTCTTCCAAACACAGCAAGCTGCTTCTTTATCTGGGGCGTAAATCACGGAGCAGGTGTCCTTTGGGGTGTGCCAGGATCCAAGTGCTGGGTGGCGATGGCTAAGTTCCCAGCATTTTTACGATTTCTAATTTATGATATTCTCCTGTCCTGTGTGCATTTCTCCGAGCAACCCCGCACCCTCTCACCTGCCTGAAAGGCACCTTCAGTCCAAGACTTACCTTTCCCAGATCCCTCCAACTCCTCAGCATCCCGGGTAGAATTCCTTCCATGTTCTCATCTGTGTCCTCATTTCAACCGAGGATGCAGTCAGCTGTTCCTGTGTGATCTTTTATCCCACCTTGTCACTTCTACGTTTCCCTCCTGTTCTGGAATTCAAGAGTCTCTGTTGAGCAACAAGGCATGCCACTCAGCTTTATAATGCCGATGTGTACCGTAGATATCAAGTGCTTCGCTGGCATCTGCTAAAATGTCATCGCACGAATGTAGTTTTGCTCAAAGGCGCAACCACTAGGTCTCCAACATCGGTGGGGGGAGTCTCGCTACTTTCCATACAGGGTTATTCTGCGTGTGTTGTTTATTGCAAACATGATGTGCGTGTTAAGGCTTCCCTGAAACTGGATATTGATAGGCAACGTTGTTATGTCAGAAAGGCAGAGGAGGGTTTGTGCTTGTTGGCTTGGTTTGGCCCAGACTATGGTCCACATCAGAGAGGAGCGGAACTCTTGTGTTCTCACGGACTTTGCTCGCCTCACTAATTAATCATCGGTTATCTGGCTGACGCATGTTTCATGTCTAGATCTGGTTATGCGTCACTTGGGATGGTTTGCGGAAACTTCCCCACCTGATCGTCTTGAAGCATGATGATGCTGACCCCTTTTTAGGGAGACACCCCAAATTATCAAGGGACGTGGGCAGGGACACTACGCCCAACAGGATCATGAGTGGTTGCCTCTACTCGACATCATGTTCAAGTGTCCTGTTAGGGCTTATATCTTAAGATTCATGTATGTCTCAAGAGGGACTCGGGAGGCTCAGTCAGTTAAGTATCTCAGTTCTGCTCAGGTCATGATCTTGCGGTCCAGGAGTTCGAGCCCCACATCAGGCTTTGTGCTGACAGCTCAGAGCCTGGAGCTGCCTCTCCACTGCTCACGTTCTGTCTCTCTTTATCTTTCAAAATTGAATAAACATTAAGAAAAGATTCATGTATGTGTTTCAAGGATAGTAGCCAAGTGCCACATGGTATATTGGTATGCCCTCTGTGGTACGCATTCTGGAGAATGGGTTCAGAACTTCTTAACACATGATTTTTGGTCTTTTTAGACAATTCCAATGCAGAGGTCCCCAGGGAACAAAGGCGCCCTGGGGATAATCTGCATGTTGGGTCTGACGGTCCAGGATCTGGTATCTAGAGTGATGGAGTCATGCGGTAGCACCTTGAATAAAATATCCCATCTCAAACACACACACACACACACACACACACACACACACACACACACACACACTATGTTCTGGTCAAACAGGGCTCTATGATGACAATCTGGGTAGCTAATCCCCAGGCAAACTGCTCTGGTTTGTTTAACTGGGTGTTCATGATATTTTCTTCAGGGGTAGGATGACAATGCCTTGGTTCTTATACACCCAGATCTGTCCATCATGTGGAAGAGTGGCTGTTTCACTCTGCTTCAGTTAGTGCGTAATGGCGATGTTGACAAATAGTACGTCCACGAGCCCCCAGATTACTCCCCACACTTTACCTTGCCAAACAGAATTCAGAAATAAGCCTGGGAGGTCAGGGAGACGTATTTTCTCTCCGTTAGTTGGGTTCACAGATCGCCCCGAGGCAATGCCAGAGTTCCTGAAGTCATCAGAATCCAACGGACAGGATCAAACAATGACTCTTCTGGAGGAGGGCTGGCCTTTTTCGTCTTGATGAATCATTTTGGTGCTAGTCACAGATAAGAACACTCAGTTACTGCAAGCAAGGTTGCAAGTGTTTCACTGACTGTAATTCCCCCCCTCCCTTCCCTGGGCTTGTATCAGGAGATGCAAATCAGGGAGGCAAATCAGGTCGCCTCATTTGTGTCTCACAAATCTGAACCGTCTGGGTGGGCAGAGCGTACACCGGCCTCCCCATCACAGAGACAGGTGGTAAGAGGAGGCTGACATTCAGCCAAAGACTCCAGGCGGCTGCTGAGGAGAACCAAGTGTTCTTCAAGACCTCCTTCTTGTTTTGTCCCAGACATCAGGTAGACCACTCTGTGGACCGGTGAGTCAAGGAAGCTTTGTGAGGCTGCACGTGTGGGACACTTCTCACTTCTTGCTTAGTTTCTGTCATCATGGGCAGAGGTGGGATTTTGGACACCCCTTTGGCTGACTCTTTTCTAGAACCCAATGGACCAGCTTAGGCATTGAAAGGTTGATTCGAGACCAGTGTTTGTTTGAGTCACCTTCTCTCCGTTCTCCCTGCTTCCTTTCCATTTCTTAGCCAACGGCTCGTTCTCTGTGGTCTCTGGTGGCATCTCGTTAGGGGCAAGACAGATTGATAAAGGAGGTGGTTCTTAGTATGTTCTCCATATTATTTTAAGTACAAATTGGAGTAATAGCTTGCATGTGGGAGATGGGTATCTGTTTTCTTTCACTGCAATATATTTCGCTGTTGTATCATGTGCTTATCATAGCTCCCACCCTCTTTATATGCAAGGATTAGCTATCCATAGGTTACCGTAGAGTCGTATGAATTTGCGCTGACACAAAACCAAAGTAGTAGCTTCATTGAAGTAATTACCTCTCTTCAGGGGACCCAAATTCATCCCACCTAGACGTTCTGAGCATAAGCCCTTGTGTTCAGCTGCTCCTCAAGACTCTACTGCCATCCAGACGTGTTTTGGTAAAGCTTTAGAGACTAAGCCAATTGTCTCAAGAGGCAGAAAGAAGCAGGTGGACCCAGGACTTGGCACCTAAGGATGAGCTCCTTAAAAATAAACTATGAGCAGTAGGTCATTAACGATGGGAAGGTCATATCTTGATAGATTTGGAAAACCAGTTTGAAATGTTGGAAGTAGAAATAATGGCTTTGTAATCTCATGAGGGTTTCATAATGGGGATTCATGTAATGAGTGTGGCAATAACACGTTTTATGTTTTTCAGCACATTTTCCCTCTGGCCAAAGAAAATAATAGGAAGCCACTCAGCACTGTATCATGAAGCTCAGGTGAGGGAAGTCGCTGTTGTGCAAGTGTGTTGAATCTAATGGACACTCTGGGGACATCTGTGAATTCCCCAGATTTATAGATTCTGTTATTTATAGGTGACAGCCATTCCTGGGTAGGGTTGGCCATAGATGTCTACACTGATGTTCTGGATTCAGTAAGTCTAAGACAAAATAGGTGAAATGATGTCAAAACAGGATGCGAGAAAAGCAACTCAATATGGCTAGTGTTGTTTCCAAATGTTCATACAAAGGTTCTGGGAGCGGAGGAAGGTTAGTGACCATTTGTCTCCTCCTTCCCAGAGGAAATCTTTGAGGTGGGTCTTCAGACATGAATAAAAACCAGACGGAGATGATACAACTAATAGTTCAAGCACCCAATATTCATTACCTGCTACTTGAGTAGGGACCCGGTGGGAAGGGTATTATATACTTCTCCGGGAAAATGGGGACTGAGCAAAATCGTGAAGCAGACTAAACTAGTCTTCAGATTCCAGGGTGTTCCTTTTCCACCATTCAGGTCTTCAACCATGTTCTCCCTTCTCCTTTGCCCCGGGGTTGGTTTCTCTTTGTTTGGCTTGGTGTTTTCCTTCCCTCCAACCAAATGTCCCTTCAGCAAAACTCTGTGCCCACCCGCGTTTGAATTCCAGTGCAAAGGAAAGTCGGCGGGCTCCTTCTTCCAGGGATGTGATCTCAGGAGTTTTACTGCCCCTGACGTAAGAAATGCTTTGTATTCAAGTAAATGATTTCAGACTTCATGTCCTGGAGGAGCATTTTGTGTGTGTGAGCAGGAAACCCAGGGGAGCCTCTCTTGGTGCGTTGTGGGCCCCGTTCGACAGTGGCAGTCAATGCTTGGGAGGAGACATTCTCGAGGCTCGCCTGTTCCTCGGGAGATTGCCTGGTCTCCCGTGAGCCCTGCTGCATTCACGGGGACACGGTAATGGGAAGGAGCTCTTGAAGCCATCCTTGTAAAATCCCTTGTCCCTTCTCAGGATCCTCGCCATCGCCCTGTCTTGGACGTGTTTACTCCTAAGCCCACGTGGGGCCCAGGAGGTGCATGAGGACAAGCCGAATATTGTCCTGATGATAGTGGACGATCTTGGGATTGGTGACTTGGGCTGCTTTGGCAATGACACGATGAGGTATGGCTTCGAGTTGAGCTGTGCTGTTTCACTTGTTGTCTAGGCTTGGGAGGTTGATAACGTTTTATGACTACATCATGTGGAAAACCAAACTCATGGGATGGAATTTGCCTTTAAAAGAAGCCAATAACATTAAAATCAGGACCATCTGGACTTGAATCTTGATTCTGCACTTACTGGTTCTGAAATCTGGCACAAGTCACTTGACTTCTGTGTGTCTTTCTTATCTTTCTTATCGGTCAAGTGTGCAGGTGAGCAGTGTACAGGTGTGGGCTCACATATGCAAGGCATTTAGAGTAGTTACCTACCATGTCATGAGCCCTCTGCGATATGCACTTGTATGATGAGCGACAATTTTGACGCATACTTTTTCTCGGCGGGACTGGACATTGCCCCCTTCCTAATTCTGGAAGCCAACAGACCTTTTACGGTGAGGTGCTTGTATTGTAAGAATGGGCATTCTGAAGGAAAAAAATGTACATGAAATAGACTCAGAGCTTTGTGGTAGGCAACAAAACAAAACACGTAGGCTTAGGAGTGCATCAGGGCAAGACGTGTGAAGTCTATACGTGGAATTCAACAATTCCATGTTGTCCCATCTTCTCTCTTACGAAGCAAGCCAGGTCTCATTACATTTTATTGGCTTCCAGCCAGGGGGCTGTCTCTCTTCTGTACAGTCTGTCTGATTTTCTGCAACCTCCACACACCTTTCTAGGGAATCATGAGGCAGAGGTTGCAAACTTTGTCTGGAGCAAAGACGTCTGTCTATAGAACCTGTGCATTGAACTTGTCGTTGGGTCTATTAGTAGCTAGGCATAACTAAGGTCTGTAAGTCATTAGCCTTAATTCATCAGCCCATAAACACAGACGCTTTTTTACATATATTTTATTTTAAAGAAATTTTAATGTTTATTCCTTTTTGAGAGAGAGAGAAGGGGGGGAGGGGGGGAGGGGCAGAGAGAGACACAGAATCCAAAGCCAGATCCAGGCTCTGAGCTGTCAGCAGAGGCTCCGATGCAGGGCTTGAACCCATGAACCTGTGAGATCATGACCTGAGCTGAAGTCAGATGCTCAACTGACTGAGCCACCTGGGTGCCCCAATTTTATATATATCTTAAAAGGCAGTGCCATTAAATGTACTCATTGAATCTATGCAGTAGATACCACATTGCAGAACCAAATTATATCGACTGTGCAATACACAGCCACTGCCTAAAACCTCAGCTGTATTTTCTCCACGATGCGGGCAGAAACCAGGAAATTAGGCGCAGTGTACAGTTACTTTTTCTCTGATTCTGAGCTCAGGGAATCACAGCAAACAGAGCTGTTGGTTTCTATCTCTCTCTTTCTCTCTCTCTCTCTGTCCCCTCTTGTCCCCTCTGCAATTCCCCTCTGTCTCTCTTTCCAGGACTCCTAACATCGACCGCTTAGCAAGGGAAGGCGTACAACTGAAACACCACATCTCCGCAGCGTCAATGTGCACCCCAAGCCGGGCCGCCTTCCTCACGGGAAGATACCCCATCCGATCAGGTGTGTAGATGGACGCACCTCTGCTACTCTCTGTGAACATGTTAAGCCATGAGGAAGTGAGTAGGTGACTAGGTCATTCCGAAAAGTTTGCCCCAAAAAGGGCAGACACACGTCCATGCACACACAGCTGCAGACGTCTGTGTGGAAAGCACTGTTCTCCTAGTCAACCCAAGCCCACCCTGCATAGCTGAGTTATGTCTATTCACCTAGAGTTGAATGTTTCTCCTCCGTGGCCTGCAATCGGGCGTAGGCAGGACTTTCCATCCCAGGGCAAGAAGGAGAAGCTGTCTCAGAAGGACTTAACGTACAGAACACGCCTACGCTAATCCGGGCTGTCATGAGGATGTCCTAGCACAATGTCTCAAACGTTCAGCACCCATTTCAACCATTGTATGGATGCAACAGGCTTTGCTTATCTGTCCCTTGATTGACTAACCATTGGATTGTTTCTGGCTTTAGGCTCTTACGAAAAGTTCTGTTGTGTACTTGCCCAGACACATGTTTGACTCATTTTCAGATCTTTTGAAGTTGATGATATCTGGCTTAGCGGGTGCTAGGGCGCATCAGGTCCAGTGAATGTTAAACGCTTTATTCTTTTTTTCTCCTTGTAGTAAACTTCTATGTGATTTGACTCTCTTTTTTCTTCTTTGCTGCTCACTTTATGTAAATTCGGAGAAGTTCAAAACCTAGATGTCCACTTGTCCCGGATGCCCCAGTGTCAGGTTTTTCACAGACATTTGGCTTATCCATCTTTTCTACAAATACTAAAACTTATTATCAGAAACACACACACACACACATACAGATTGTAGGATTTCAGGTTTTCGTGATTTCATTTTTTGGCTCCTTTACCGACACAATGATCCCCCTGCCAAGAGTAAGCCTGTGTTAGTGGTTCAGTCACGCGTGTCTACTGAAATGACACCCTGTCCTGTTGTAAATTTGCAAGAGGCTACGTGTAGAGTGTTATTTGAGTGGTGTGCTTGTGCGTATCTAGTAGTGTCGTGCGTGTGCGTGCAAGCGGGTAAAGGGGTGCGTCATGGGGCCCGGTGTGAGTTCTGTCCGCGGGACGTGATTTTCCTCGCCCACGAGATGGTTTTGTTGATCCTCTCTCGTCATGTCTGCGTCTTCCAGCTCCTGAACTCCCCGTGACTCCCTCTCCTCTCCATCTCACGGGGACCTACTCACTGTGCATGCCTTCTGCTTTTTGCTTTTCTTTTCCCATCCCGTCTAGGAATGGTTTCTAACAGAGTGAGCCGTGTGATCTCCACGCTCGGAGCTCCTGCTGGACTCCCTCGCAATGAGACAACATTTGCAGCCTTACTGAAGAGGCAAGGGTATAGTACGGCATTGATAGGTAAGAAGCGACCACGGGCATGCCTCGTTTACACAAAGGAATAATCTGCGTCGTTCTATGCTCGATGTGGTTTTCTTGGAAACCTTTTGTTTCCAAAGGAGCATGCATCTTGGCTGTGGCAGAGAAGGCCCTCCGTGTGATGTCGACTCTATATCCACCACTCTGTGGGCTACCTGTGAGCTTTCTCTTTACTTTCCAAAATTAACCCTGCTTAATCTATCATATGGTCTTTCCCAAGGAAACGTGTTCCCTGTGTCCTCCAGAATTCTTCATCATGCTTTGTTCACCTGGGACCATCTGCCCTAATGCCCCCTGACCAACACACACACTTCTTCCTAAACGACGCCCTTTCACTCTTTTCAGACAGAATTCAGGCATGACAGAAGACCGCTTCCCACCAGACCCCCAGTCCTTGCCAGATGGCCACCCCACGTGCTTCTGTATAATCCTGTGTTCTTCGTCTTTGCATAGAACTCTGTACGATACTGTGATTTCTACATTATTCTCTGCAGACTCTGGAATACGTCATCCCATTCACCACACATCACTTGTGAAATGTGACAAGCTCTCTCAAGAACACACAAATAGCTTTACGCATCATTAACTTCTTATAGAGTGTCACCTAATGACTCCGTAAAAACTCTATGCCCTATAACCATCACCCAAATAGAAAAAAAATATCTAAAAACTGACTTTTGAGAAATGTCAACACCCTGTGTCTGTCACCCCAATCAAGTGCAGCTACACCTACTGTCTTTATTTGAGAGCCTGGGTTTCAATTGGCTTGAGAATAACATCCTAGTTTAAAGTTTGTTTGTTTATTTATTTATTTATTTATTTTAAGAGAGAGAGAGTGAGAGAGCGAGAGAGCAGGGGAGAGGGGCAGAGAAAGAAGCAGAGAGAGAATCCCAAGTAGGCTCTGTGCTGTCAGTGACGGTAAGATCATGACTTAAGCCAAGAGTTGGACACTTAACTGACTGAACCACCTGGGTATCTCCAGAATAACATGCTATTTTCTTGTCTTGTCTTGTCTTGTCTTATCTTGTCTTCTTATTTATTATTGAGAGACAGAAAGAGATAGAGCATGAGCAGGGGAGGGGCAGAGAAAGGAGGAGACACAGAATCGGAAGCAGGCTCCAGGCTCTGAGCTGTCAGCACAGAGCCCGATGTGGGACTCGAACTCACAAACTGTGAGATCATGACCTGATCCGAAGTCAGACGTTTAACTGACTGAGCCACCCAGGCGCCCCTAACATGCTATTTTAAATTGACTTTTGTAACCAATTTGACATTGATCAGAGAAAACAGTCTTCATGGAGGCGCAGGACAGAAAAGCCTGGGCCAGTAGTCCTGGTTCTCATGTGCTTAGTCCCTCAGGTGCTCTGAGATGTGAATCTGTGCATCCTTCATGTGGCCCTAACTCCATGGGGGGAACCATTAACGGTTTAGTGGATACACGGATCAGATTCTGTTACAGTCCTCATGTTAACAGGACAAACATGGATCTTTCTGTTACCATTCAAAACGTGTGGCAAGTTTTATCAAATAAAGTTCAGTGAAGTTTAGTGGGAGAGTCTGGCATTTCCAGCCAGCCATCTATCCAACCATCTATTCATGCATGCCTGGTCCATTCTCCATCATTTATCTATATCTACTAACTATCTGTCATCTATCTATCTATCTATCTATCTATCTATCTATCTATCTATCATTCTATCTATCTATCCATCTATCTATTCTCTGTATCTATCTGTTACCTATGTGTCCATCCATCCGTCCACCCACACATCCACTCATCTATCATCTATCTATCTATCCACCTATGTATGCATATATACATTACCCATCTGTTTGCCATGATTTTATGTGTATTTATCATTATCTATGTACTATCTCCACCCACCCACCATCTATTCATCATGTATCATTTATCTTACCTCTATCATTTATCTTTATGGCTATAATTTACATCTATCTATCTATCTATCTATCTATCTATCTATCTAATCTAT